TGTAATTTAATGGGAACGCTTCCTAGCTTAATGCATGATATACATATAATTTTAATCCGCTTCATCAATCTTTTAAATACCGTCATCTATCGGTATTTCTAGAAAAAATAGTTTTAATGTTTTGAAGATAAACACAATTTTATAATAAGCCTCTTCAAGAAACAGGGATTATATTTTGATTTTATATTGATTTTCTTCTAATGCATGTTTCTTTAAAAACACATTAAGCTACAGTGAATAATTTATTTATGTACCTCATTCCGCCATTAATCTTTATTGTTTTAGTGTTACGTGTTTTAAAGTTCTCTAAGTCTAATTTTAGTATCAGTGCAAATGCGCATTTTTTTAACATTAAAATAGTTTTAATGGTGTTAAAGTCTGAAATCGGGGTTTCAAGTAAAATAACCCGCTTGTACAATTAATGAAGAAGCTATAATATAACTCAAGCATTCATTGAATTTATTTATACTGACAAAATAAATGTGTTAGTGCTCTTCAATAATTTTACTGAAAACAGATAAAATGAGTGAAGAATTTTACTATTTTAAGAGTGCATTTGTGATATACTGTCAATAGTTTTCTAAATAGTTTTTGTATCAAATAACACCGTTCTACCTTCGAAGCGTTTGAATCGACTGTATTATAAAATGCCACTGGCTCAAGAAAAAGGGAAAAAAAGATATCGTCTTCACGATATCTTTGCTTGATTGGGACAATTTAAACACTGGTTATGTAATCAAACATTGGAGCCTGGGTCAATGTTTTGTTTGGAGAGTTGATCCACAAAACAAATCCCAACCCAATCTCTTGTCAGTAGAAGCAAAACACTTAGAGACAGAGATGCGAAATATCTCAGTTCGCAATATGGCAAAATAACATGATCGTTAGAAATGTGATCTTAGGGTCAGATTAAAATTACTAATAAATTGTAATGTGCAGTAACGAAATTGATTCACTAGTGCATACCATTAGTAATTTTATAAGAAGTTTTTTTTTCAATACAGCCTAATTTCTAACTACCAGCCTTTATTAACTCAACCATGTAAACCTGTTAGGCATAGATAGTTATCTAATGTATTTCCTTAGTAAAATATTTTTTAGTGTATGCAGGTCATTCATTACTAAACAATCCATTGAAATAATTTAAAAGCATTAATTATATATTTAAACCGTCTCTATGGTTTTTTTTAAGTATGCAATAGCTTCAGGGGGGGGGGTAAGAGTGAAAATTAAAATACTCAAGTTTAGGACGTCTAGAATCTTTTATTAAAGCGTCAAAGTGACATAAAAAATATTTGTGCTAAGCTTTTGCTATAAGGGTTCGTTAACACAGACAAAAATGCCGAAAACGAACTGTTCAAAACATATAGCGAATTAAACGTTTAAGTACTTTTTTAAGATAACTTCCCAAACCAAAGGATAAAAATACATGTGAATGTGACTCAATCCTGGCTATGATTCATATGCCATTACACATTTAAACTAGAAGATTTTTGAGTTATTTGTATCCATGGTCCAAATCGTTGTGTTTTTCAGTGATTTGAAGACCGATTAGCATTATTTAGATAGGATATTTGGGATTCCTGTGGTGCTTGACTATGGGTTCTAGAAGCTCAAAACTATAGTAGGGTAACATGAAGATAGCATCACTGATCAAGGTAATTGACCAGGTAATAATCCGATTTATTGTCTCAAATAAGATAAATTTGAAGACAACTACCTATGAAATCAATGGCGTGAACATCAGGCGATGAAACTAACGAGAATTTAAGAATGATTAAGAACATACGCAGTTGCGGGTTTCTTAGCAATAGCACTTTGTCACTGACTTCGATTTGGCTGCAGATCAAATGAATTGCAGGTTTTTATCCTTCGTACAAAAAGCTAATGTTCCAAGGACGACTTTTCTTTCTAAAAGCAATATAACCACGCGTATTGGTCGAAAATAAGTTTCATTCGTTAAATTTATCAAAAAACTAAATCTGACTACTTTTAACTCCACCCACACATTTATTTCGAAATGTTTGTAAGTTTGAATAGCAATGAACATTTGAATGTTAATGAAAAAGGGATTCAATTTTGCATCTCAGTTCTACGTTAAATAATAAATAGGCTGCCATCGACGTCCATTTTCATCAACAAGATTTAATATTAAGAGAAAGCCAATGTAATATAAAGATAGGTTTATATTTTATCTTTTCAAAAATGTTCCTTGCCTATGGATTTAAAATATGTCATTTTGCATAAATTCCAATTTCTTTAACTATAAATTTTCTATGTACTTTTACATCTGAAATTACAAATACTACATGACAGAAAGCATATTATATGTTCTCTTTTTAAGCTTTTGGATATAGGTCTAACTAACTTTTTAATAGCTTTGTTTTCTGTCACCTAAAAATATATTTCCTAACTGACATAGTGATTTAAATTAATTCACTATCCTAAATTCGTAGATATAAATATCTTTAAATGTGTAACAAAACTGTTTTAGGTGTGCTTTGTTTTAATGTGCTCGAAATTACACTGTAGTATCGAAATTAATTGCTGAATTAGATTTATTCGTTGAATTAAATCTTCATTCATTGATCTCAATATTTCGTTGAAACAGGATAAACGAAGTTCAAAAACAAAAATCAATACAAGTATTTCATTTAATCGTTCGAGGAATATTTTAATTTACATTATTTTTTTAACGTGTTTAATAATAAACTGTATAACAGCCATATATTATAATTGACAAATATAACAATGTCACATGATTATGAGTTAATCTACAACTTATTATGATGACCAAATCTGTTAATAGTGACATAGTTTTATTGTGGATATCTCATGTTTGGATGAAAAATTATGTATTACTTTATGCTACTAGCAATTAAATATTTGATTAACAAATTATATTATATACCTAATACATAAATCTAAATACGGTAGGCCTATACATTAATCCAAACCATCCAATATATGAATATGCTCTTCAAAGCCTAAAAACGTGTAGTATAATGTTTGAAAGACTAATTATTTATATGCTTTATAGTAACTGTAGGAAAAATATATTGTGTAACGCGAGTGCAAAGTGCCTTTTGCTGCACTCGAAAAACATTTCTCTTACGTGCAGCAAAATGCCATTTCGCACACTAGTTACACAAATAACTATTGTATTTAAACTATTAAGCCCTTTAAGGTTTTACAAGTACTTGCATTATAGACATTACTTTTTGAATAAGAATAAATACAGTATGTTCTGCGTTATTATTTCTTAACATTTGATTTATATAAAAGTACTAAAACCACAAGTTTTTGCTAATACATACCATAAAAATTTAAAATAGATAACAAGAGTACTGTGAACTTAGAATACACAAGACCTTAATGTTGCCTTTTTTTAATTGCGTAGTTCTTCACCTAAACAAACATGGCACGAAGAAAATGTCTTCGATAGAGTACTGTAATATCTATAATGTTACACTATCATTAATTAGAACTTTTTTCAATCATTCGGAAATGTTATCAATGGCAGCTTTCTATCATAAATAGTTGTGTTACTTATTTGCATTATTGTGACTTAAGAAAATCAAATTCAAAAGAAACTGTCGCAATTTATTATATTTTCATATTTTTGTAGGTATTGACCTAAATTAACAAAATTGGTGTTCAGCTTCAACAGTAACTACTCTGAAACTATGTACAGTTTGGGTTTTTATAATCTATACAGTACTGCATTATTTAATATATATTTTATATTTTAATATATTTTAATATTATATTAATATTTTAATATATGGTCCCTGGAAATCAACCACTACATGTCTGATTTACTGTTAGAATTGCGTAAAAGCTTTATAATAATTTTTTTTTATCTTTATATTAGGAAACATAATTTATACATTACTTTTTTTTACAAACTAGAAAACAAATCATGAAAGTTTTCATATACTGTATATGAAAACCTAAAGGCAGTTTTTTTATATAAAAAGTTTAGTACTTTTCATATAAACATAGAAATACTATCAGTATTTTTATCCTTATCCATGAAATGTATTGATAAAAATACAATAACTCATATATACATAACATAATAATATACAATAACAATATTATGATATACAATAACATAATATAAAAATAACTTTTACTTTTACATTTTTCTCTATGCAAATTAACCCACCTAAAACTGATCATGCAAGTTAATATTAGCTAGTGCAATTATTCAAACATAAACCTCTCTTAGATACAAAATTACAGTTTTAATATTTTTTTTATCACTTTTATAAACTTGGAGGATATATTTTATAGATATCAAAACCTGTTAAAACCAAAGTATGTATGATCATTTAAGAAACACTGTCAAATCCATATGCCACGAAAATGGTGTGGTGTAAGAATACGAGAACTAAAACCTAGTAGTAGGATTAATAATTTTAAGTTATACAAATGTGTGTGGTCAATTCCTTAAATCGTATGAAGTTTGTATTATAACCTTGTTATTGTTAAAATTATAATAACGCCTCACCTATATTGGTAATGTACCTTACGTTATCCAGACCTTATCATTTGTCTTCATATCCCATATCCATATCCTACGTTACAATTACATACTACTTTGATCAACTTGCAGAACTTGCTACAACTGAGAGAGAACCAATGAATATTACCACTATAGGGCACAACTTAGGTTTAGCATCACAAAAAATAAACATTCCCGATGTTAAAACTTGGTCCATGGGCCCGAGGGACAGGCTTTGTTGTTTAGGCCGGTGTTTCTATAGAATCTGTGTGTCCAGACCCTAGGGTTGTGGAGTCTATCTTTATATATGTCTTAATGCTAGAGGCTTACGTAATACTCTCTTGGTCCATGGGCCAGAGGTATAGGCCGGTAACTATAGACTCTGTGTGGTCCAGACCCTAGGATTGTGGAGTCTATCCTTGCGTATGTCCGAATGCTAGACGTTTATGTAGTATTCCCTTGGTCCATGGGCCAAAGGGATAGGCCTGTGTCACGCGTGCGCCATATGGTCGTGTCGTTTTTTGCAGTTCTCGTGCAGCAAGTAGCACAGTGCTATTGTGATCAGCACTGCGATAGTGATGGCCAGCACGATGGACATCCATACGATCTCTTCGTTGATTCCAGTCAAACTTTGTCCTGAAAACAGAACAAGAATAATTATGAAGACGTTAAGCTTGTTTACTAAAAGTTTATACAACTCAAGATATGTGCATGTAAAATACTTATGGGGTTGCATGTTCTTATTAAAACTGGTTTAAGCATAACCACATGCAATTACAACCGAATATACAATTTACTTTCATTACAAGTTTAGTCTAGCATTCTGAACAGAACATTATCTTGGTTAGTTATGGGACCCGTACACAAAGCACTGTCAAGTTCAGTATGTAATAGTCAGCCATTGACAGCGAGTGACATGGTAATATCATCTTACACAGTGTCAACATGAATCATCGTCTAAGGTAGGCACTATTACACTGTTCAAAGTATTGAGGATCTCATAATAGGAGCAAAGTAACTCTATCATTATTGTGTTTTGGTTTTTTTCATTTGGGTTGATAGGCGAAAGTATTTACTTATTTGTACTAAAATATGTGTAGCTCGTAGTTAAACATCTGTATTTAGGATGTTAAATTACAAATCTTTCAGGTATCCTTATAACTCATTATTTATTTCTCATCGCTCTCGGCTCTGTATTATACGTCCATTGCATGTACTAATTTCTCATTGTTTTTACTTGTCTCTATGGTTATTCACTTCAAATATTTATCATTGTTTTTATATTATTTATTGTTCTCACAAATATATTTATCATGTTTGCTTTCTAGGTTAGTCCATGTACCATTTATTGTATACATATTTTCGTTATTTATTCAACTATGTATTTATTTATCGTTACCCTTAGTTCTTTCTTTGTCCAAGTTTTTTACCTGTACTGTATACTTATTCTTATTATTGTTACATTTGACATTCTTTTCATTGTTATTGTATATAGGATATCTATGCATAATGAGCAATTTACAGCTCAATCAAACTGTAAAAATTTGTGTAAATCCGTTGGCAAATAAATGAATGAATGAATAAATAAATAAATTTATTAATTAATTTTGTAATAATAAATAAATTAATTAATTAATAATAAATAACAAATGTTCACAGTTCAAGTCAGTTGTTCTGAAGCTATTACTGTCTGGAAAAACAAATTATACGTCAATGTCAATTTTATGGGTTAATGTAAAACATGAAAATCTGTAATTTTAAACTTATAAGGAGACTCTTAACTTGTAAGCACTGCAACTGTGGCCTTCATTTTATGGTTTTCATTTTGAACCATTCTTCAGACAACTTTTACTTTAAACTCTGTTTTAATAACATGAAAATCGCGTCCATGTCTGTTAGAAGATTTTATCACGAGAACCGGTCGTAAAAGTTTCCTGGCATATGAAGTTGTTACAGACCCATTTTAATAAAACTCTATATAGCCTCCTCATATCTACTGTATTAACGAGTACTTGGATGCAAATATTGGGCAGTAGTAGTAAAACCTTTTCGTTAATAATACCGTAGTTAATTTAGGCCTAGTGATTTGAAAAATGTCACCGCGAAATTGAGACGAATCTAGAAGAATTCTAATTAAGTCATGCTGCAAACTCTTTTACTTGGTCTTACGCTAGAAATTGGTTTTGACGCTTTTAAAATCCTACTTTACAATGTTGGGGTTTTTAAACGAGCAATATTGCCTTCAATTTATTAACTTATAAATTATCGTTCCATAGATTTTTGTGTTCGTAATATAGCTAAATTAGTCAAAATTTGTCTAGAGATTTAGATAAGGTGTTTTTTATAAGTATATATATTGTTTTACAGTTTATGATAATCGTACATGTGTGTGGGCCTATGCTATTTATCTACATATAATACTCACCATTTCTGATTCCATAACTTTGGACTCCTCCACCGACCCCCTTCCCACCACGACCTCCAACAGGCATCTTGGCTAGTTTCTTGACATTCCTGTATACATAACTTAGTGAATTACAGCCCTGTTTAATATGTTAAAAGTATTATGGCACATGTTAACACACAATAATTTGTTATAACGAATGATTATAAATGCTTTACCTCGACACATTCCAATTATACTAACTTTTATCCTAACGATTGCTTATTAAGACTGTAGGGTTTATTGAAAAAAAAAAAAATATTTTAAACTTACCGTCATGACCAAAGAGTTTTGTATACTAACGCTATTGCTCGTTGACTCTTCTGTGATATTGTGAATCAATATTAGTTGTATACATCTCAAAGGTTTCCGTTTTAATTATCCGATCAATGAGTTGACATAATACTACTCCTGAGGTCAAGGTACTTGATCAGGGCGCTACTTCTGAGACAGCGGAGAAAAGAAAAGAGTGGAGAAGCATCGTTGGTGAGGCCAAATATATTTTGAGGTTCCAATGGCCAAGGAGGTAAGGTAAGGTAAGGAGTTGACATAATTGTTTAAAGTCAACCTGTTTAGTTTGATGAACTTTAACTCTGTTTAATCGATTATTGTTTTATTTATGGATATAGTATTAATTTGATACATCATTCAGAGTACATTCGCTATCATTATAATCATCATAAGCTTAATCTTTGGACTATTTGACGAAAGGTGCGTAAAACCTAAGGCGACTGTTTCATATGAACTCCGTTATCAACGAATTGCCATGAAAACTCATCAGGATAATGGAATTCATTATTTTCTCGGTTTCATAACCCATGAAAGTAAAACAATTATTAAATTAGGTATTTAACGTCGAGATAAGATTGAGTTCATTTGCTGGCGTTTGTAAGCTAAGTATATGTTGAAATGTTTATTGTGTTGACGTTTGCTGGGTGTTTAAACATAGTCCAACTGTATTAAAGATTAATTTGATTTAATGTCCACACTTGGTGTGCTTGGTTAAATGTATTCTTCCTGCTACCATTTAGGATATGATTTTACGTAAATCTAAACACAGAATATTGACGGTTGGGTATTAATTTTTTTAATAAAATGTTTATATTTTAGGCATTAAGATCTATAAATTCATATTTTAAAACAATACACTCAATTGGATACATAATGGATAATTATGTTGTAATTTAAGAAGTTGGAAGGAATATGGAACATGGAATATAGAACTTCCAAATATAGAATAATTAGAAGTAAAAAAATAGATTAACTCATTAAATGTCCAGAAGTCTAGAATGAGATTACCTTTATGCTATAAGCCCCTCTTAGATACGTTGCAATGATTAATTGAAGAATATTCATTCTTCAGCAGAATATCAGAACACCAAAGATATACTCTGAAGATATTAACTTAAGTAGATTTGTCGTAAATTCTAACATATAAGGAACTAAATCCAAATAAATATTAAAGTAAATATAGATATAAATAAAAAGAATCCTTTTTTTATGGTATTCCATTGCTCGAGAACGAGAGCACCGAATTGGATGATTTTTTTCGTTGAGTTCCTTAGTACCAGGGGAAGGTTTTTATGTAAGGAAATTTATAATCCATCCAACCGTTATTTAGTAATTTTATTTTAAACTTCCAAAGAATTGTCTTTACATTAGTTCACTCACTTTCAACCTGGAGGCGAGTGAACATAGCAAACGAGCTGAACCTGAATCTGAACTCCTCTGTAAGTATGTTTTATAACAACCAGTGAGTTTGTAGAGTGATCGTATTTTTGTAAGCCATGAACACTAATGGGACATTATCTTTAGTCTTTTGCTCAGACTATTTGGTGTTTGTAACGCACCAAAGCTGATTTTCTATTTAGATATAGTCGCTCTAACCTCGTATGGTTTCATATCATTTGTTCATGTTCAGGGCTTGTCCCATATAACATTGATGATAATGTCCATGTGGATAGCACTCCATTGTTTATTGTCGTGTTTGTTGGTAAGTTATAATCAACGCTTGTTATGCAATCTCTTTGTTACACCATGATTTAGCTGCTGTAAACCATCTCTGTAGTTATGTATTGTGATGTTCATGTTTGTTTATGCTTGTTCATGATATCAAATAAAGCTTTGATCCAAAAGACATTAATGCTTTAACTATAAAAAGAACTTTTAATATCTTATCAGTCCCGTTATTTGTGTACATGTTACATTAAAAATCAAACTTGTTTTATTATTTTTTTAAATACGTTTAACCTTATTTTATTTTACTTTATACATCTAACTCGATTAATTCAAAATAGTGATTTGTGTATTCAAAATTAGATTGAATTTGTAAGTAGTTTGAGTTATATGTTGTCATAAATTTGTCTAAAAGTCTGAGATTGTAATTTGATATTGAACATTTTTAAGGAACTTTACATCATATTTATACTGTACTTTTTATTTAACTGTTTGATAAAAATACGAACACTTGTTAATATGGAATATAGAATGGCTAGTGGTTCACTTTAATTAAAAACAACAGAGTAACCGTACAATGATCAGTCTAAAGCTATACTTCTTTTAGTTTAGTCTTTATAGCATTTCACGCTACGGTTACACTTTGATTTTTTACTACAAACAAGAACTGAATTGCAATGTCACAGTAATTTATCTAAATGAGATTTCATCTGGGATAATTAGTAAGCCTGTGTTAGTTTTATACATAAAGTAAATAATTTTTCGGTAAGAATTCAGATGCCAAATTAAAAAGTAATTTGACCCCGTTGGTGAATTCATTCAGCCAAAAGAATCCAAGCGAGTATTTTATTCCAAGGTTTGTTTCAACGTATTAAATCAACTGTTTACAGGCAACTTTAATTTGTGTAACATCACACATTTCAATTAAAGCGAAATCCATCCATAAAACTGACTTTTATAAGTAAAGTTATTTCCATACATAATTTTTGTTTCCTTAATTATTGTTTTTTTTTTTTTTATAACAAGTACAATTTAACGGCAGAAACGTATACCAGTACTTAATTTTTACAACACTTGTCAATTCAATATGCCTGCTGTGAAGCATTGCGGTATATTTTTACTCGATTCTCTTAGCTTCAAAATAACTTAAAGTTAGGATTTTATTCTAATAAGCTGCAGGGTGTCAGTATAAACCAAATGCGATTCATACCATAACATATTATCCCAGTAGTACTGTGTGGTTCAGAAACTTGAGCCCTGACTGAAGAACAGAAAAAACGTATTACTCAGCTTGAGAATAGAGTACAGAGAAAATATACGGGTCATTCCATGATAACGGCGGTTGAGATACGAAAGAACAGAGAAATATTGGTGTATACAAGGAAACAAACATCTATTGTATCAAACAAATTATTAATCTTACATAACTTCGGTATTTGCAGAAATCCTAATTTTCATTTTTCCAGTAGACACTTTTTGGATTAAATGCTCATGAAAACTTATGTTTACTCTTTATTATAAATTGTTTCCTTAAGTTACACCTGTTAAACATAAAGAAACACAAACACAAAAATGACGACATTCGTGAAGTTTTTTTTTTTTTTACACAAGTACACTGCTTATCATCTATCATAATCATCGCTCTATGATAAGCTATGATAAATACACAGGAGGACAAACCACGAAATGATTCTTCCCTATGTATTAGTAAATTATTAAATGACGATTTCGTTACCACATATAAATGACATGTTTATGCTAATATTAAGAACTTTTCATACTACATTGGAGAAGAAACATTTAAAAGTGTATTATTTGAATGTAAGATTATACCATTATACACAAACATATAACAAATATCATATAGATACCAAACATATGTTAGATACCTTGTGTGGCGACTCTATGTGTAAGCTCTGGACATAGACTTGACACTACACACAGCACGAGCACTACTGATACTGAACACCAAAACCAACCCCTCAAGCTCACTCCCCCTTATCGTCACCCCAAAACCCAAATTTCAGACCTTTGTGACGGGCCTAAAATATCTAATATAGATTTTAAAATTATAAAAAGTGTGTGGAACTATTTTTTAACGAGTAGGCTCTTTATGTTCTCATAGTGATTTCGTCCTTCAACATGTATGTGTTTATTTATGTAGTTGCGTAGCATAATACCAAAATGGATGGTTGAGTTTCCTTTAGTGCCTTTGTTACAAATACTATCAGTATATTTAAAACGAACTATTTATTTTCATGTTTAATGGTCAAGAAAAGCATAGCTTGGTTTTCAAAGTTAAAAAATATTTATCTTAGATAGGGTCGGCGGTTTTTAAAATATAGGCAAGCAAAATTACACTTTTAACATCAACTATATCACCCTAACGACATGTTGAAAAAGCTGCAATTTTGATTTAAAAACAATTTAAGATTAACATTACGTGCCCTCGTATAACAAGTACTATGGGGGAGCGGGCTGGTCTAGTGGTTAGAGCGTGGGACTCCGGTTCCTGGAGTCCCGGGTTCAAATCCCGTCAAAAAAAACCAATGGATTTTATCTAAGTGATGATTACGAAACCCCTAGAACTAGCTTGAAGCAATGTGAAAATAACTCCGGGCTCGTGCCTAGCATCCTAGGACAAAAAACAAAATACTACATTCTCGTACGTTTGCACACGTGAAGTGGCGTGAAGATTTAGAGCGCGAACGTTCTGAGTTAATTGGTGAACAGTTAATTGGTTAAAACCTGATACTTTAGTCCCAAGAGAATTGGTTTCGAATATATCCAATCAATTATATCTTCTAGCTGCTTAATAAAGACACGAAGGTGCGGTCCAAAGTTTGTGTTAAGCTTTTTGGAACTTCAGATAGGACAGAAAGTGCACAAACAATTACTTATAGCGCAATAGTAGATTATCTAGCGATAAATCACCATTTAATGAATGGATATGTACCAAGGTACAATTGTATTAGCTCCAAACGTTCAACAATGAGGGTTCAACACTCTCAGGGTAAACATGTAGATTCCACTCCTCGCAGCAGTCAGCTATAACGGTTTAATCGCCCTCGTACCCATTTAATAATCCACTAGAGT